CCTTTTCATCATATTGTTTTTCCTTTTTTAAAAAAAAATTTTTCCAAATGCTTCGCCTTTTATTATTATTATTATTATTATTATTATTACAACATTTTTCTGTTATTAAAAGGATAAAGAAAAAAGGAAAAAAGGAAAACAATGTGACGTAGAAATCAATATTATATATATATATATTTTAACGTATTTTTATTAAACTTTTTTTTTTTTTTCGAATCGGAATAATGTCAACTTTTTTTTTTTTTCCTTTTTTCCTTTTTCTTTTCCTTTTCCTCGTCAGTATTTTATTTCAATTTATCATTTTATTACCTTTTTTACTTTTACTTTTTTCTTTCCCTTTTTTTTTTTTTTTTTTTTTTTAGTTTTTGTTTTTCCAGAGTTTTTTTGTTTTTTATTTTTTGTTCGGATGGTATAAAATGGGACAAAAAAAGTTTTTTTTTTTTCTGTTTTCCGAAAAAGTAAAGGGGGAGGGGGAGGGAGGGAGGAAGAGAGAAAAAAAGTTTTTTTTTTTTTTTTATTAATCGCCATTTTGATTTTTGTATCGAAAATATTTTTTTTTTTTTCTTCTGCAAAAATAAAAGAAAAGCAAAAAAATTTTCCCCTGGAATTTTCTTTTTTTATTATTATTATTATTTTAATACGAAATAAAAAAAAATTTTTAATTCAAATTATGAACGAGAAAGAGAGAGAGAGAGAGAGGAAAATTTTAAAATTAAAGTTTAAAAAAAAAAAAAAATGTAAACGAATGAGATTAATTCTCACGTGACTTGAATCCCCCCGTGATTTTTCCCGCCATTATTTAAAAATATTAAACCTAAGAAAATGTTTTTCTTTTTTTTTTCTCTCTCTCCTTTTTAGAAATTAAACCCTCCCCCCCTTTTTTTTGCTTTCATCCCAAAGGAAAAAATATGAATTAAAAAAAAAAGGGAATTTAATGTAAAAGTGAAAAAGAGAGAGAGTGGGAGGAAGGGAGAAAGAGAGCAAAAAAAAAAATGAATTTAATGAGAAAGAAGAAAATACTTGAAAAAAAAGGTCAACAAAAATTTTAAAAAAAAAAAAAAACAAAAAGGAAATATGTCTGTTTTGTCTCTCTCTCTCTCTCTCTATCTCTACCTCTTTCAGACGTATAATGAATGAAGAGAAAGAGCGAGAGAGAGAGAGAGAAAAAGCAATCAAGTAGATGATAAGAGAGTAAAAAAGAAAAACAAAGAAAAAAGTTAAAGGCAGAGAGAGAGAGAGAGAGAAAGATCGAATAAAATTAAATAGAAGAGAGAGAGAGAGGGAAGGACCGAGTAAAAATAATTACAAGATAAGACAGAGAAAGAAAGAAAGAAAATTCTACAAGTAAAAAAAAAAAAAGACAAAAATAAAAGAAAAAGGAAATGATAAAATAGAATGAGAGAGAGAGAGAGAGAGAGACAAAACAAACAAAATAATTCCTTATAATTACAATATACATTATTAATAATAATAATAATAATTTATTATTGTCTTTTTTGTTTGTTGTTATCGTAAATATAAATACAAACTTACAAAATTTTACATTTATTTTTATCGGGCTCCTCATGGATATTATTAATATTATTAGTATAATAATTATCACGAGTTATGGAAGGATTATGATGATGATGATGATGATGTGTCGTGGAATTAGAATCGATTGAATTCATAACGTTTTTAAACAAATGCATAACTTTTAAATTATTTTTAGCGCTGCACTCAACGTATGTGCATTTCCAATTCGTCGTCACCGTTTCAACAATATCGTTTAATAATTTTTTTTTTGTTTTTCTCACGTCACGACAACAATCCGAATCCACGACATTTTCCACCTTCTCCACCTCCACTACATCCTCATCCTCCTCATCCTCTTCTTCCTCCTCCTCCTTCTCCTCCGAAGATGAAGATGACGACGAGGACGACGACGACGACGACATTTTACCGGAACAATCAATTAAATCTTGTTTGTTACCGACAACGATCAACGGAACGTTTCTCATATCCCGACTTTCGATTATTTGCTCTCGTAAATTTTTTACGTATTGAAAAGTATCGACGTTCGATAAATCGAAAACGAGGATGTACGCGGATGCGTTTCTCAAACCGTAAAATCTATAATCCGTCCATTCGTAATATGAATTAACCGGGAAATAAGGTATGACCGGTATATCCGTTATTTTTAATTCGTATAAATGTTCGTTAATTATAACCGATGGATAATACGTGTGTTTACAATCGGTCGATATGTATTTATCGTCGAATTCGTTCCATACGAATTGCTGGAACAAAATAATAATAATAATAATAATAAATACCGTGCGAGTCCTTTCTTCCCTTACATTAAAAATTCAGGTATCGTGTAAACTAAACTAAAAATTTCAGGTGGATCACATGAATAAATATTTAAAACTTTTTTTTTTTTTTTTCGTGACCTGATTTTCCGGAAGCAATAAAAAAAAAGAAAATTCTAGAAGAAATAAGGGGGAGGGATGTAGGGGGAGGGATGTGGGGAGAGGACAAAACTTTTTTCTTTTACATTTCGTTACGTAAAATCGGAAATTACGTCATAACAAACAAACGCCCATGAGTTTTAAATTTCTTTTCTTGAATATATACATGTACAAAAACTTTTATTTCGAAACAAAATAAAAAAAAAACCCGCCCCCAGTTGTACCCCCCCCCTCCGAACAAATGTAAAACTTAAAATCCCTGGAAAATTTGTGACGTCATAATATTCTTTTAAACAAAAAACAAAAAATTTCGAATAAATTTAAAATTTTTTTACATATATAATAAATTGTTCATTTGTTTCTTTTATTTAAAATATAAAAAAAAAAACAAAATGGCGGGAATTTTCAATCAATGAAATTTTCATTTTTTTTTTCGGGGAGGGGGAGAAGGGGGGAAACGATATAAAAAAAAACTCGTTTGGAAAAAAATGATAAAAAAAAAAAGAAAATTATACAATTAAATAATGTTATCATTCGATTCCAGTTTCACATATTTTTTTTTTTGCCGATAAGAATTAGGGTTTTGGGAATAAGAAAGTGAAAGCGTTTTTTTTTTTTCGTGAACCTCCTATTTTTAACTTATTCTTATGTTCACCTGTTGATTGCCTATAATTTAAATATTTGCATATGGGTAAAGGAATGGAAGTGGGATAAGAGTAATTTTAAACATTATCTAAAACAACACTTAAGAAAAGTGAAGTGAGGGAAGGAGAAAGTGGGAGGAGAAAATAAAAAAAACTCGCGTGCTTATTGGTGGAGAAAAAGTGGGGGAAGGGGAAACTTAATTAGTCGAATAATATTTCTTAAAAAAATTTTTTTTTAACGTTTTGATAATGACGTCACAAAAAAATAAAAAAAAATGAAGGTTCTATCCCGAACGTGACACCAGACTTTAAACATTTACCATTATTATTTACCACCCTCCACCAAAACTTAAGTACGTGGCAGTAGTGCAAAATAAATAAATTATAACTTTTTTTTTCATTTCCCCCTTAGTTATGTCGTCGCCGTCACCACCATAATAATCATTTATCATCATCAATGGCGTATAAAGTTTTTTAAATTACAAAACCGTTAAAAAAAAAAATTGAATTTTTTTAACCGGAAATGAAAAATTCTATTCAAAAACAAAATTAATAAGAAAGTTTAAAAAAAAAAAAAGTGAAAATTACACTTTCAAAAGACAGAAAAATAAAAAATTCAATCAAAAAGTAATTTAAAAAAAAAAAAAAAAAAAAGGTAAAAAAGAAGAAATTTTTTTTTTGTTTTATACGCCGCCATTTTTTTTTTAAAATTATTATTCTATTTACACTTTAAAAACTTTTACAATTTCTTTTTTTTTTTTTAATACGATTTACGCTTACGCTTACGAAAACGCAAAAATCCGTGTAATTAGAATGGAAACTCTTAACCTTTAAAAACCCCTCTCATATAAAAAGTATTATTATTATTTTAGTTTACGTCGTAAAAAATTTTTAGAATAATAATAATGATGATTACGATGATGATGATGATGATGATTATGACGGTGACGACGACGACGACAATTGCTATATCGTCATCGTTAAAATTTTTATCGATTTTATTTGACTTTTTTATATTAATAATAAAAATCATATTTACGCCGCCATCTTATTTTCTTTTTTTTTTTTTTTGGGGGGGGGGGAAACCGAACAAAAAAATAATTAAACTTACTTGTATTATGGAAGTTTTTCCAACTCGGGGAGCTCCCAACAAAAGTATTTTAACCAAATCTACCGAATCGGGACTGAATTCTTTCAATGGAGTTGACGCTCTACTTTTTCTTCTGCTACGAGAATCTTCTAAAAAATCTAAATCCAATTCTGAAAAAAGAAATTAAATGAACGATAATGATAATGATAATGATAATGATAATGATAATAATAATCGTGTAATTTCTTTGACGAGTTTTTCTCTCTCTCTCTTTCTCTCCCCCCCTCTCACACACCCGCACGCTAATTGAAATCGAAAGAAGAAAGTTGAAGTAATAATAATAACAATAATGACAGCGGAGTGAAGGGAGGGGAGGAGAGGGGGTAGAGAGGGGACAACACTTTTGTAAAAAGTGGTAAAAAAAATTTTTTTTTTTCTTTTTTTCTTTTCAATTTTCATCCTTTTGGAAAAAGTTCAATTTGAAAAGAAAAGAAATGAAAAGGAAAAAAAACTTTAAGAAAATTTATTTTTGAAATTCATTTAAACAAATGAGTGAAAAAAAGAGAAGAGAGAGAGAGAGACAGAGAGAGAGATAAGATGTAAAAACAGAATAGTGGGAAAAAAATCATCTGGAATTTTAAAAAAAATTTAAAAAAAAGTTAAATTAAAATGGCGGCGAGATGATAGAAAAAAAATAAGGAAAACCATTCAAGACAACATTGTTTTCTTTTTATTAATTTAAACGGAATCGAAACGTATAATTAAATGTTAGCATAGTCTGGAAAAACAACAATAAAGTTTTTTTTATTCAAAGGAATAATAATGATGATAAATTAATAAATAAAAAAAAAAAAGGAAAGAAAAATAGAAAAACAATAACAAATTGATGCGGTCGAATGATGACGTTCCTGCCTTTTTTTCCTTTTATTTTACTTTCTTTTTCTCTATTGTTTGAAATTTTCAAGAAAAACTACTACAAAAAAAAATTATTTATCTGATTGATTCCAATGAATTTCCCCCCCCCCCTTTTCTTTTCTTCCATCTTCTAATTCCGTTTTTCCAATCGATCGATATACTGATTTTTTTCTTTTTTTTAAATCGATTTCATTTCGTATCGAATTATTTGAATTTGGCGGGAAAAAATAACTGTACGAAATCATACAAAAAAACTCCACTTTTCTCGTGCCACGTTTTAAATCGACCGTTATTTTTTACCCATTTGTTTCTTTACACATATAAAAATATTTTAAAAATTCAAACAAGAAAATAAAAAAAAAAAAAACAAAAAACAAAAAATAACAACAATAATAATAATAATAAAGGTAAAGTTAAGAAAAAGAAAGGAAAATTTTTTAAACAAAAGAAAAAACCCGGTCGAGACAGATTGATTAATGTAAAGGAAAACAAAAGATTTTCCAAACAGAAAAAACCAATTTTCCAAGTAAATCGTTTTTCTTTTTTTCTCCCCCCCCTTTTTTTTTGTTAATGCCAATAAATAACTTTTTTATCAAAAAAAAAAAAAAAAAATAGTAATTAATCTTCTAAATAAATGAATTACCGCAATAATAATAATAACAACATTATTATTATTAATAATAATAAATTTTCTCCGTATCGTAAACACAAAAAAAAAAAAACGAATAAAAAAAAAAAAGAAAAAAATTAAATCGTTTAACCCTTAAATTCAAAAATGATGATAACGTGACGTCAGATAAGTAATAAAAATAAAATATAATTTTCCCGTCGGGAGCGAGGAGGGAGGAGGGAAGGGGGGTGAAAAAATTTAATTCAATTATAACTTACGATAATTATTATTATCCCTCTTTTGGGACATAATTTATTCCTCCATTTTGTTTTTTTTTTTTTTTTTTTACTATTAAACGATCGGTATGATATTAAAAATGTCAATTTAAAAAATCCCACATGGAAATTATTTTCAAAATTACTACTACTTCATCATCCTCGAAATGCACTCTACGAATGTCAAACGCTAACTAAACGAATACACGCTCAAACCAAGAATATAATAAAGTAGGATTTTGACGTCATCAAAAATAATTGACGTCAAAACGCGTTCATTGGTTGTTTAAAATAAACACGCCAACCAATCAAAATTAATTATTTTTACATATTAAAAATTACATTTAAAAACATAAAAATTTTATTTCACACGTTTATAAACAATTTAATTAAATCCTTTTGTTTTTTTTTCGAAACAATTTTTTCCGCGAAAAAATGCGTACGAATTATGACGTAATACAAAACTTAATAAAAAAATAATTAATTTTAAATACGTGTCGATAAACAAAAACAAAAACAACAACAACAAAAAAAAAAAATTAATATAATTTGTTTTTTTTCCCCCCTTACAATGATTACGTAATAAAAGATGACGCGCACGTACACATGTGACACGATAAGATGATGATGATAATAATAATAATAGTAATAATAATAATAATAATATGAAAAAAAAACTTAATAAAACTTTTTTCAAATAAAAATAAAAAAATTTAATTTAAAAAGTTTTTAATAAAATTAAGAAAATGACACGGAGATAAAATTACACAGAGAGAGAGGGGGAAGAGAGAGAAAGATAGAGAGAGAGAGAGGAGAGAGAGGTAGATAGATAGATAGATAGATAGATAGATAGAGAGAGAGAGAGAAACACATTAAAGAAAAACTGACATCTTGGAATGTAATTACCATTAAAATATGTTATCCATACGCAAACATATATATATATATATAAATATTATAAAAATTTTTTTCTCTTCTGATTGTTTGTGTTTGCGTTTGTGTTTATGTTTTTGTTTATATTTGTGTTTATGTTTATGTTTTGTAATATTATTAAAAGTTAAAAAAGAAACAATTTATTAAAGTTATACGCACACGCTCGCCTTGTAAAAAAAAAAACCAATTCATTTTTAACGTTATTGTTTATATTTATTATTATTATTATTATTATTGTCTATTTACACGTGTTTTCAACATCATTTTAAGGATTTCCAAGTTCCCCCTTTGGGTTTTTTTTTTTTTTAATATTAAAATTCGAGTCAAAGTTGTTGGGTTTAAACCAACAATATGGCGAATCCTTTTTAAATTGTCTTTTCAAATATTCTTCAACTTTTATTGAATCCAACGTTTAATGTCCGTTATTATAATCGTTTCCGCCGTTAACCATTGGTAATTTCCGGTCTTAATAACGTTTGTCAGAATAAAAAAAATTTTTCCTTATCGTCCATTTTCGTTTTTTTATGATTTCGTAATTGATAATTCGATCATCATTTTAAATTTACACACACACTTACGTTCGAAAACATTTTCGATTTTTTCTCCCTTTCGCCCCCTGCTCCCCACCTCCCCGTCTTTTCCGATATCCTTCCTTACTATTTTCTACGTGCCATATGCTTCGTTATCGATAATCGATATAATTAAATGCACGATCATCGTTTTCTTTTTCCTTTTTTTTCGATATGCTACGCATTCAATTTTTTTTTTCTGACTTTACCTCCTTCCAAAAATAAAAAAATTATCATTATTATTATCGTTTTCGAATAAAACAAATACGGGGGAAAATGACATTAAATATAAATTCAACTTGTTATATTTGTTAAAAACGATTCAACTACGTTTTGAGGTTTTTATTTTACCTTTTCCGAAAAATTCTTACCCAAAACTTTGTTTTGAAACAATTTAAAAGTAAAAAATTTATTGACGACAATATTTTATAATAAATAATAAGAAAACTATTTTCTTATAAGTATGCGGTGCAACTAAACATTGTAAATATTTAAAAATCCATTTTTGCCAATTTAAAACGTTTAGTGACACGTGTATCTCGTGACACGTTCATTTCAACTCAACGTTTTTCATCAATTAAAAAAAAAAAAAAATTTATTTATCAATAAATGACTAACAAAAACCGTTTTAAATATTTTATTCGAGTCTCATAATAATTTATTATTATTATTATTATTAAGTACACACGTCAAAAACAGACAACGAAAAAAAAGCAGAAGAAAAGTAGAGGAAGGGGGAAAAAAAAACAAAACAAACAAAATAATATATAAATGTAAATTTTTTTTTCTCCCCCTCTTATTCTCTCTCTCTCTCTCTCCCTCTCTCTCCCTCTCTTTCTCTTTTCCTTTCTCTCTCTCTCCCTCTCTCTCTCTTTCTCTTTCCCCCCCCCCTCTCTTTCTATTTTTTAACAATTCGCCAAGTTAACGCAGAGACTCTCATCTCAAAAATATATTTTTTTTTTTTTCTTTTGAATAATAATAATAATAATGCTCTTGCATTGTTATTATTGTTGTTATTATTATCATCATCATTATTATTATTATTATTATTATCATTTCACTTTCCATTGTTTTTTTATTCATGTTTTCTTTTTTTTTTTACATTTAAAAAATTTTAAAATTAATTTTTTTTTTTTTGTTTGTAGAATTAAAAATGGCGGAAGATTTAAAAAAAAAAAAAATGAAAATAAAATAAAATAAAAAGGAGATTTTTTTTTTATTGTTGTTTACGTGAGCGTCATAAAGTAAATAAACTTTTTTTTTTTTTTTAAAGTAAATAAAAAATCGATTAAAAGATTTAAATAAAAATCCGTTAAAAATTTCACATGGAAATCACACACACCCCCACAAAAAAAAATCCAAAATTCGTTTTCGTTTAAAACCCCCCCCTCTGTCTCTCTTTCTTTCCCACCCCCTCTCTCTCTCTCGGCTGGAAATGATGATAATAATAATAAATCGTAAAAAAATAAAAAAATATTATTTTTTTATTAACTAACTAAAAATAAATTATCGAAAACGGTGCGAGTGTAAAATAAAAAAAAAATTAATTCGAGTAATTGAAAAGAATAATGATGATGATGATAATGATGATGATGATGATGATGATGATGATGATGATGATAATAATAATGATGATGATGATCGAACGATTTAATTTCGATATTATTTTACGAATTTTCCCTTTTCGAACTCGAATAAAGTTTTTCCTTTTTTTCCACTCCCGGGGTTAAAATCAAATCTTTTATTATAACTAAAACCCCGTTTAAAATTTGACCTTTGAACCTCCAACGATTTCATTACGATCGAATCGTTAACTCCTCGTTTAATAAAATTATTTTGCGGGCACGATCGGATGATCGGAGGAGGGCGGATGTGGGAAAAATGGAGAGGAGGAAAGAAGGAAACGAGAAGGAAAATTTTTTTTTTTAAACTACTAAAATTTACGAAATTTATTTCTATGACGTCATATTAATTTTTTTTTGCTTTTCCGAACGTGAAAAATTGACAAAGGGAGAAAAAAAAAGTTTTAGACGTAGAGAAATTGGGAAAACTTTTTGTCAAACGAATTTGTCTCGAAATATTTTCATCATCGTTGTAACCTCCTTTACCACCCCTCCCCCCCCCGCTTTCCCCCGTCCCGACTCCATCGAAAAAAAGGGAAAATTATAATCTTAAAACGAACTTTACGACGACGTATTATCCGAATTAAAATAACGAACGAAACAAAAGGATATATAGTTAAGTATAAATTTTCAAACCTCTTTAATTTCCCCCTCCTCTCTCCCTTCCCCCCATAATCTTCTTCCGCCATATTTTCCTTCCGTTACTTTTCTCTCTTTCATCCGACATCTTTAAAAAATTTTTACCCTCACCCTCCTTCTCCTCCCTCTTCTCCCCCCCGATTCACTCCTCTTTTCCTTTTATCTACAAATTTTTTATCATATCAAGAATTTTCCGAGAAAGAAAAACTTTA